GTTACTGTAATATATCCCACTATTTTTAAATTTAGTTTTCCCTTAATTAAAAAATAAGAAAAAATAAATTAATTTTTAAAAGTGGGAAATTGAGATAAAAGAGGACATAGTAACAGAACAACACAGGTCAGAACCGAACAACTTAAGCATCATTGTTTCACCACCAGATAACATGACATAATAGTAGTCACCATAGTGTTTCTTTCCTTGAATTATTTGAGTATAACTTCATATACTATAGCATCAAATGTATTAAGACAGTGTGAAGCCATTCAAGAGAATGTAAGAATTACAGGGTATTTAGGACCAGCTAACAGAAAACAAACAACAGTTTCTACATTATCTCTTTGCCTATAAATATTTTTGTTTATACTATCACATATAGTAAAATATAATAAGATACAACATGTTAAAACCCATGGAAACCGGGGCTGGGGATTTAGCTCAGCGGCGTAAGTGCCTGCCTTGCAAGCAGGCAGTCGTGAGTTCGATCCCCGGTACCAGTAAAAAAAACGAAAAAGACAAAAAAAAAAAAAAAAAAAAACAAACCAACAACAACAACAACAACAAAAAAAAAAAAAACGATGGAAACCGATGAACAACAGCTTGATGGAACTTCAAGACAAGATGATATTAAATCAGCACTAAGTATTATGATGTCTTGTTTTCCTCAAAATTGCTATTCATACTATCACAGACAATAAAATTGAACAACCCAAATTAAAACCATTCGAATTAATGAGTGAAAACATATGGCTTCAAACCAATATGATTGGGAATCATGATTGCCACATACTTTTATGTATTCTTATCATTTCTTACACTGGAAACTACTCAGTATTTATACATGTGAGTTTGATTTATCTCACTTATGAGTATGGTCTCAAGCTGTGTCCATTTATTTATAAATATCTCAATGTGATCATTCTTTATAGCTGAGTAGTACTCCATTGTATAAAAATACCACAACTTTTTTATCCATTTCTCAGTTGATGGACACTTGGGTTGTTTCCAAGACCTGGCTATTACAAATTGTGCTGCTATAAACATGGGTGCACATATATCACTGTGGTGCAATGCTTTCAGTTCTTCTGGGAATATGCCTAGGAGTGGAATAGCTGGGTCAAATGGGGCTTCCAATCCCAGCTTTCTGAGAAATCTCCAAACTGACCTCCACAACAGTTGCACCAGTCTACAATTCCACCAGCAGTGCAGGAGAGTTCCTTTTTCCTTGCAGCCTCTCCAGCATTTGTTGTTGGTGGTTTTCTTGATCTTGGCCATTCTTTCAGGAGTGAGATGATATCTCAGTGTGGTTTTAATTTGCATTTCTTTGATTACTAATCATGATGAACATTTTTTCATGTATTTATTTGCTGTTTGTATTTCTTCATCTGAGAATTGTGTATTCATCTCAGATGCCATTTTTGGATTGGGTCTTTGAATTTTGGGGGTCTGATTTTTTAAAATTCTTTATATGTTTTAGACAGAATTCTTTTGTCTGAGGGACAGTTCACTAAGATTTTTTTCCCAGTAGGTTTTCTTTTCACTATGTTGGAGATTTCTTTTGACGTGCAGAAACTTTTTAATAAGAGGTGATCCCAATTATTGACTGTGGGACGTATTTTCCATGTGGTTTGAGTCTTGTTCATGAATTCTCTACCTATTCCTATGTCTCCAAGGTTTTTACCCAACTTGTCTTCCAATAGATTTAGTGTTTCTGTTTTAATATTTAGATCTTTGATCCATTTAGATTTTATTTTAGTACATGGTGATAGGCATGGGTCTAGTTTTAGTTTACAGCATATGGAGAGCCAGTTTTTCCAACACCATTTATTAAAGAGACTGTCATTCTTCCAGTGAACATGTTTGGCCCCTTTATCAAAGATAAGGTGGTTGAGTGTGTTTGTAGTTGTGGTTGTATCTTATTCCACTGGTCTTCGGCTCTGTTTTGGTTCCAGTACCATGTTGATTTTACACAGTTGCTTTCACTCTTTCTTGATTTCTGTGGCTTCATAGTATGTCTTCTTGTTGGGTACTATCGGTTCTTTGAGATTTCTTTTTCTTCAATATTGAATTAGCTATTTGGGTGTTTTGTCTTTCCATGTAACTTCATAATTAGTTTTTTGGTATTGCTCCCAAAATATTGTGGGGTTTTTTCAGGAAAATCCCATATAATTTTATCCTCCAAAGTGAACATTAATGTTTGCAGTTGAAACAGTGATCATGTTAAGATAGATCATGATGGAATGTACAATGGAGCAAAGGAATCTAAGTATTTATAAATGTATGAATGAAATTCACTAAAGTGGAAGGGAGTATAAAAAGGGTAACCCAAGCAACTCTAAACAATTGTACTCTAGTAGATTAGACTGTTTGCCATGGAGGTGTGAATAACAATTCTGAAGCTATAATACTTACATGCTTATATTCTCTAGTGACATAAAAACAATGCACAGTAAAATTGTTCTCAGCCTAAAACTACACAAATATATATTTCTTGAATATAAAAATATATAGTAAATATTTTTGGAATATAAATATCTATATGTATATAAATATATTTTAATATAAATATTATATACAAATGCAGAGAGATTATGAATTGAGTGATATAATTTTGAAGCCAGCAAAGTTCCAAGATCTGCAGTCAGGAGGCTGGAGACCCAGGAGTACCATTGATCTTGTTGCAGGCCAGCCTTAAAGCCTGGGCACTGGAAGAGCCCATAAAACATGGCAGCAGGCTGATGCTTTAATTTAGGTCTCAAGGCAGACAAAAAACACTCCTAGCTCAAAGGCAGTCATATAGGAGGGTTGCACATTTATTCAGCCTTTGATTATATTTAGGCCTTCAACTGTTTGATTGAGCCCCGTCACATGAGGACAGTCAGTCAGCTTCCCTCTGTCAATCAATTCACATTTTAATCTTGTTCAGAAACACCCTCACAGACATACACAGAATAATGTTTAACAAAATATATAAGCACCTAGTCTTGTAGTCAAGGTGATAATAGCATTTCATTGCATATCAGCAGAATTTTGTATAAGACAAAAAGATTGTAACTCATGAGTCATGCTGCTGTGCTTTTCACTGGGTTGGTCAAATTACAGAATGGAAGAATTATTCACTTTGCTATGTGTCATAGTGAGAATTCCTGTTAGCCTGGGAATGGTCTCTCCTCCCAGAATACTTTCTGTAAATGGCAGGTCTAGAAGTTGCTCATTTCATTCTAAGATGAGCGCTGCTTAGAAAAAAACCATTGCAAGACCCACAAAATATCTATGCATTCAAACAACAAAAGCAATAGGAAAAACCAAGACACTTAACAAAGGACCACAAAAATGGACAATGCAATATTAGCAAGAAATTCAGTAAAGTGATCCCAACTACAAAACAAAAGAAAGAAGAGGAAACATGATAAAATACTAAAAGGTAAAACGTTCTTAAAAGTTTAGAAAAGGATAGAGAAAAAATAAAGTACACAAGAAATGAAGGCTGAATTGAAAGCAGCATCAAGGAAAAAGACATGGTTGAGGTCAATAGTGGACATAACCATAAGAAAAGGACAAAACCTCACAGTTATGAAAAAGGAGTCAGAGAGTGTTAAAAGAGAATCAAAATAAATTGTAGAAAAGGGAAACAAAGTGAGTACAAAACCAATGTAAGCCTAATTTGAATGGGAAATATAAATGACATATACTTAAAATATTGATACGCATATGCAAATCACAGAATAATATAGAATCCAATATCACCTTTACACAAAAATTCACATACCTCGAATTCTAGCCAGTATGAACGCAACAATATTTCCAATAAAGTTACTAAAAGGATGCCAAAGGAGCTACTCACACTTGGGACAAGGACTTTAGCGTATGTTCTGTTCCTCAAACATATATTACTCATTGGATTTGTAAATAAGTAAATAAATGTGTAAGAAACTACATTGAATATTTAAACATGCATTTATTATATCTACCAGGAAATGTGAGAATATATGAGCATCTATCTTTCAAAATTTAACTACAAGTATACAGCAATATAAACAACTTAGCATGTTCAAAGAAACAGGAGGCACACACAAATAGAAAATATAAACACTGAAATACCATCCCAGTTAAATGATTTGTTTGCTCTAAAAAACAGATTACTAAAACCAAAAATACTATGGAAGATTTAACTACTTAAAAGATATATTACTTACCATATTCCAAAAGTCAAAATGAGAATGGAGATTTTGGGACACCAATATTAAGAAATAAGTAATATTAACAAGACCCTGATAAACTGAATCATGTAAGTTAATTAATTTTTGACATTAATGAATATATACATTTTTAAGATCTAAGTGTGTCTTGGGGTACATTTTTAAAGCCTGTCATTTGGCATATTGAATTATCTACTGGAAATTATTATTTCTAGAAAAACTACTTTCAAATAATTTAGGGTAAGTGAGTGAGCAGGGTGGAAGAATGGAAGAAACGGGGTCATGAAAGCTTCATTGTTAAATCTGGCTAATAGGTTGACATGAGGCCAATTGTGGTTCTGTTGACACACTATCTGTAAAATTTTATATAAAGTCAAAACGAGCAGTTTATATTTGCAATACTAAAAGAAACTGGTAACCTTTCTGTTCGCATACAATGATATCGATCCTGAGTATCTCTGTAGGCTGGGAAGAGCACAACACTTCAAACATTCTGACACACAGCAAGACATGAAGAAACTTCTTAAGACTGTGACTAACTCTTACCTACAGTGAATTAAGATGTGTCTTACTGTATTGAGGTGAAATCAAAACTGGAGGCAGGAGAATTTTCCCTGACTAAAGGATGCCAAAAACTGCAGTCTCGCTATTTCATAACTTTGCTAACAATGTAGGTGTGACTTCATTTTTTGTAAAGCCCAACCCTCACAATCTGCAAGCTCACCTTCCAGAAGAAAGCCCAGCCCATCCGCACCATATATAAGCTGTTGCCTGAGCCCATCTATTTCACTTCTCTTCTCAGCTCTGCCCTCAGCCTCTCACACCCTCTCAGCCTTCTCAGCCCCAGGAAACATGTCTAGCAAAACTACCGTGAGGAGCCAAAGCACCAGCCGCCGTGGCTTCAGTGCCAGCTCAGCCAGAGTCCCTGGGCTCAGCCGCTCTGGCTTCAGCAGTGTCTCTGTGTGCCGCTCCAGGGGCAGCGGTGGCACTGGGGCAATGTATGGAGGAGCTGGCTTTGGCAGCAGAAGCCTCTACAACCTAGGAGGTTCCAAGAGGATCTCCATCGGAGGGGGCAGCTGTGCCATTGGTGGAGGATATGGCAGCAGAGTTGGAGGTGGCTTTGGCTTTGGAGGTGGAATCGGCAATGGATTTGGTTATGGTGGTGGAGCTGGTAGCGGCTTTGGGCTCAGTGGTGGAGCTGGCTTTGGTGGTGGCTATGGGGGCGCTGGCTTCCCTGTGTGTCCACCTGGAGGCATCCAAGAGGTTACCATCAACCAGAGTCTCCTCACTCCTCTGAACTTGGAAATCGACCCCACCATTCAGCGTGTGAGAACAGAGGAGCGTGAGCAGATCAAGACCCTCAACAACAAATTCGCCTCCTTCATCGATAAGGTGAGCTATGGGCCTGGCCATCTGTAGAGCATTTCAGGAACACCAGCTAGAGACATAACAGTCCTCCAGCATGGGAATTTAGGACAGAGAGAGGGAGCTTTACACTGACACTTCACAGGCTGTGAGATGGACTCATGGTGATAAGATCAGGAGGAGATGCAGTTGGAACTGCTGAGCCCCCTCCAGGCACATGGAAGACACAGTGTGACAGTGGCTATGAGGAGCTAGGTCTCCTCTCTTGAGGATCTAAGAGGTACAATCAAAGCCAGCAGTGTTTGGGTCCAAGATTCACTCTGGGGTCTAGTTGAGAGAAAAGGCTAAAGAAAATCTGAAAAGAAAAAAATTTTCTTGCTAGATGAAGGAAAAACTTAGGGTAAGTTACACAATATGTAAAATGTTAATTTATTCCAGGAACAGACAGTGACTGGAAAACTGGGATATTTCTTAGAAGATGCATGCATTAAATAAGAGGTTAGATGTTAATCTAATCATTAGACACCCTTTACATTCTGGTAACGGAGATCCTCCCACAATGGAAACTTGTACAATGTATCAATCAATACTATTTTAAACTAGAATTGTGATTGTGCTTGGAAAGAGAAGAAGAAATGTTAAAAGGCACAGATTAGATCCGTAAGTTAGATGGCAAGAGGTCCTTAGTGGTTCATGAGGTTTCCTTGGTGAGTCTGGTGGTGGAAAAGAGAAATTGCAGAGGGCCAAACTCTTGGCTTGAGTCTGTGTGTGCTCAGAAGCATGCATCAGGGAGAATCCCAGATCACTGGGACACCTGCCTACCTATCACTCCCTACTTTCTGCCTTTGTCTCACCAATAGCCACTTTGTGCCCCTTCCAGGTGCGGTTCCTGGAACAACAAAACAAGGTCCTGGATACCAAGTGGAGCCTGCTCCAGGAGCAGGGGACCAGGACAGTCAGGCATAGTCTGGAGCCTCTGTTTGAGCAGTACATCAACAACCTCAGGAGGCAGCTGGACTCCATCGTTTCAGAGAGAGGCCGCCTGGACTCCGAGCTGAGGAACATGCAGGACGCAGTGGAAGACTACAAGAACAAGTGGGTCAAAAAGAGAGTGAATTCTGTTCTACAACTCACACCTCAAAGCAGTGGAGGACAAGTCTAGATGTGCAAATAAGTCTATAGGAAAATATGCCCAGAAATGAAAGTTATAAAGTATTGCCAAACAGCAAAAATATGTAAGACAAGAAAGTTATGGGAGTTTGGGAAACAGTGAAAAGAAAAAATTTAGTGTTAAAAAAGTCATCATTGGTTTTCTCTGTAGCAGGGAAAAGGGATCTAGAAACAGGACCAGAGGCAGCCTTTAGGTTTCACTGTCACACTGGCTCAAAAATGTTATAACATTCCCTTGCAGATATGAACATGAAATCAACAAGCGCACAACAGCCGAGAACGAATTTGTGACTTTGAAAAAGGTGAGCTGACCAAACTGGGATTCAGGTTTCTCTGCTGAATCACAGATACAGTTCAGTGTCCCATCCAATGTCACATGCAATAAGATGCCAGGGAGCCAGAGATGGTGACTGAGCAGGAGGGCTCAGCTAACTCTTCTTTGTTGCCTCTGTCCCCAGGATGTGGACGCTGCCTACATGAATAAGACTGAACTGCAAGCCAAGGCAGATGGTCTTGTTGATGAGATCAACTTCCTGAGAGCCCTCTATGAGGCCGTAAGTTTCCTCCCCCACTTACTCTGATGCAAATGTACGAAGACCTTAATGTTGGTAAGCGTTATGCACAGAGATGACCTTAGCATCTTCTGTTCTGTAGGAACTGTCTCAGATGCAAACTCACGTCTCTGACACTTCTGTGATCCTATCCATGGACAACAACCGCAGCCTGGACCTGGACAGCATTATTGCTGAAGTCAGAGCCCAATATGAGGAAATTGCTCAGAGGAGCCGAGCTGAGGCTGAGTCCTGGTACCAGTCCAAGGTGAGCAGAGATCTGGCGGTTCTTACAAATCTCTGTGTTTCTCCTTGAATACTAGAAGGCCTTGACTTCATTGAGATAATGTGATCTATAGAATGGAACATGGGATCCTCTTGACATGAAGTGTATACTATACCATTAGCATAGACCCTTATAGAACTCATGCCCTGTATAGTAAGCAAGGGACTCAGAGTCAGGAAGAAAGTTCTCATAGAAAAGGACCTATCTTTGTTTAACTGGTCAGAAATGCTAGTTCTCAAAAAATACAGAACATTTTCAGTCTCTAAGAGAATTAAAGAGTCTATATTCTCCTCATCAGGATGGTCTGTGACTGTTTTGTATAGTATTCAATAGCCATATAACATCAACTTTTTATAAAATTTCCCAAGAGAAATATCATGATTACAAGGTGTCTTATTTGAAAGGAAAATTTTATTGTTTAAAGTAAAACATATATACCTATATCCCACCCCACTACAGTATGAAGAACTTCAAGTAACAGCAGGCAGACATGGGGATGACCTGCGTAACACGAAGCAGGAAATCGCTGAGATCAACCGCATGATCCAGAGGCTGAGATCTGAGATCGACCACGTCAAGAAACAGGTACGCTGGGAGACAATGGTGAAGAAAAACTTCATTTTTTCTGCTACCACATAGTACATTCATAAACTAATTTTGGGATCTTCTGCAGAGGTTGAGAAACAGTAGGGAGAGATTGTGATATCCCTGTTCTCAGTAAAAAACCACTGATTAAAGACAGGTCTCACAAATGTATTATATAAATACATGGGAAAAGCTAATCCCAGCTGGTCTAAGCTACAAAGGCACAGGCCAGAAGTACTGTTTGGTGTTGTCTTAGTTACTTTTTACTCATTGCTGAGACAAAATATCTACTGCCCAAAGTTGGGAAAGGAAAGGTTTATTTCTAACAGTTTTTGGAGGTTTCAGTCCATACTCAGTTGTCTCCACGGCAGGGTGGCATAGCGGGGCTGCAGTTCATGGCAGCTGCAAACAGCTAGGTGGAAACCAGCAAGAGAGAGACGTGCCTTCTTCCCACCATTACATTGTATGCTGGCTCCACTACTAGGCGGGTGTAGCACTGCCACCATCAATCCAAATGCTACACAATGAACCAAGCACAAATGCACAATGCAAGCGCATGAAGCTTGGGGGCCACCGACATAAACCATGACAGGTGCTAACCTAAGAAAACTGATTTACTCAGGAATTGCAAAAGATAAATTGAGAAAATAGAAGGTGGCTGGAAAGCTTGAGAATTCTTGCTGCAGACCTATTCAAAATTCTAGATTAAAAGAGCAGAGCAGGGCAAAGGATAAATGATATCCCAATGCTGTGAAAGATTCTGAAGTTGGAGGACTACAGGGCTCTGAGAGTCTCGGGTGAATACTTACCACTTCACTTCAGGATGGTCATTGTTTTGTAACCATGTCTTCCATATGTGATCATAAGAAATAGTCCTAGATTGGTAGTGGAGAAAATACTCAAAAGAAGTAGGTGACTCCATTTCTTCCATTGTCCCTAGTCCTGTCTCCACTGTGGTGTTTTTTTCAACATTAACTAGCCATACTGCTAAGAAGGATGTCTATCAAAGGGTATAGATTTGGGTGACTCTCAGACTAGACAGGATTATAAACAAAAAGACAGAGGTCAGGAACAGTCAGAGCTCATTTGCCATTCATTGTGGGCTCCACGATACTTTCTCACTGGGAATGAAGTCCCAGGGTAGATACCCTGGGTAGTACCAAACTATAGGTCTATTCTCCTTGCTTCCCCTCCAGTGTGCCAATCTGCAGGCTGCTATCGCTGATGCTGAGCAACGTGGAGAGCTTGCCATTAAAGATGCCAGGAGCAAGCTGGAAGGGCTGGAGGATGCATTGCAGAATGCCAAGCAGGACCTGGCCAGGATGCTGAAGCAGTACCAGGAGCTCTTGAATGTCAAATTGGCCTTGGATGTAGAGATTGCCACCTACAGGAAGCTACTGGAAGGCGAAGAGTGCAGGTGGGTCCCTCACAGAGCCCCTCAGTTTTCTGAGAACATCTGCAGAGTGTCTCCCACTAAGCACAAGACTACAGAACATTAGCTATGGTCATAATGGCCACTATCAGGAAACTCTTTGGAAGGTGGCTCTTCACAGACTCCCAGCTGGAGGCTCCTGCAGGCTCCAGGGAACAGCTCTCCAGTGCTTACCTCTTTGTGTTCTTCTCCCTGCAGGCTGAGTGGTGAAGGTGTTGGACCAGTCAACATCTGTAAGTACTTGGCTTCCCTGCCCCCTCCCCTAGCCCTCGTACCTCAGCTTAAGGTGGCACAATAAGTTGACCTTTCCCTGTGTCCTTATCCATTCCCCAGCTGTGGTGCAGTCCACTGTCTCCAGTGGCTACGGCAGTTCCAGTGGAGTGGGCAGTGGTTTAGGCTTGGGTGGAAGCAGCGGCTACACCTACAGCTCTGGTCACAGCCTTGGAAGCGGCTTTAGCTCTGGCAGCGGCAGAGGCACCAGCATTGGGGGCGGCCACATCTCTGTTGGAGGCGGCCTCAGCTCTACTGGGGACAGCACTTCCACTGTCAAGTACACCAGCTCCTCCTCCAGCAGGAAGAGCTACAAGTACTGAAGTCATGCCTTAATTGTGGAAATTCTTGAGTCCCTCCGGCTTTAGTGTCCCGTGCTCAGTTCCTTTTCCTCCTCCTGCCTCTGCCTCTGCTTTCTAATTGGAGGTGAGCATGTGCAGTCCTCACATTGTTTTTCAGTGAACCTCCTTTACCCTGGAGCTCATGGCTCATTTCAGAATCTCAGCATCTGACTACATCTTATGATTTACTAACCTGGTGCCTCACTGTCTTGCTCTATTATTAACTTTTTGCTCCTTTATTCTATCTCTGAGCCTGAGTATTACAAGAAAATTATCTCTACTCCTTTCTTTCTAAAAGTCCCTGCCTGTGACCCATTAACAACAGGGAAGTTCCCTTTTAATGCATGCTGGCATTAAAGCATACTTCATTCCACACTTACTGTGAACCTCCCTCACAGTAACTGTGATAATTTAACCATCTGGTCCTTTGATGTGCAGAATAGAGAATTGTATCTCTGTGAACTTGTATTTGTTGTATCTCTGTGATGTTTTCTCTGTTCTTTGCTTTCTTATGATTACTAAATAAAGCAGATTTATAATGTAATGTCTTGTTCAATGTCGTCTTACATTAGTGTCAACAGTGCTTTACTTTTTTTATGATTTTTTTCTTTTAAAACGGTAGCCTATTCCTCATGTGTTTTGCTCTACTTCTTTAAAGATAGACAATAAATAGTAATTTGTTATTTTGATATTAAGTTTCCCTTTCAGATCAAATTCCATCTAAATTTTGACAAAGGGGTAGAGAAATCTGATCCACCATCATTGTTCATGCATGATGTTTTAACTGTGCATACCAAGAATTATTAGGCTAGACACTGATTTAATCTCTAAGCCCACTTTTCCTCTATGCCAGTGCTCAGCCAAAACATTCATTCTAATACTAAATAGTACTCTAATACTAAAACTAGGTAATGATAGCTTTAAGAAATAAAAAGTATAAGATAACACCTCTTGTGAATACAGACACAAAGATGTTCAGGGAAATAGTATCAAACTGATTCCTACTAAGTATACAACAAATTATAAATCATGACCAACTAGGATTAACTTTAAATATGAAAGGCCAGTTAATATTCAAAAGCAGTCAGTGCAATCCACCTCATTAAAGAATTAAAGAAGTAAAATAAGCTGTTTATAGAATTGGTGTAAATAGGTGTAAGACATAATCCAAAACCTGTTCATGCTCAGAAAAAGCCTCAGAAAATGGTGAACAGAGGCAGCACCCTCTGCTTGGTAAGGAATATCTAAAGAAATTCTACAGCTAACATCATACATAATTTTGAAAACTGTACTCTTTTCCTAAATTTGAGAAGGGAAACCTGACTCTTTCCACTGTTACATAGCGTAGCAAATCCAGCTACAACAATGAAATGAGGAAAAACAATAACATATATATGTCAGAAATTAAGAAATAAAACTTTCTTTATTTTCATATGACATCACAATCAGTGGGGAAAGTAAAAACACTGTAAAAAATTTCCTAGAAATAGTAATAATGCCATGGGATACAAGGTAATAAAAGTAATACATGTATAATATATATAAAGTAATAATAGAAAGAGGAAGCTAAACTCAGTGTCACTCAGAATATCCCAAAAGATGAAGTACTCCAGCATAAATCCCACTAAATATGTGAAGAACCTGTACCTGAGAAACTGTAACATACTGATGAAAAAATCCAAGAGGTAAATGAAAGAAAGCATATTCCATATTCATGGGTTGAAAGATTGAATATTACTAAGCTGTCAATTCCTTCTGACTTGAATAAATTCAGTACAATTCAAATTTATAACCCAACAAGCTATTTAGTAAAAATAAACAAATTGAATTGTTCCTATGACAAGACAAAGAGTGGGTGAAACACAGGGCATTTTTAGAATGTTATATACTACTACTGTGTATGCTTTTAGGATGTCATATACTACTACTATGGTGAAATTATGACATCAAAAACTATAGAATATGTTTTTATTTTTACTGATTGCTATTTTTACTGGAAAATCCTAACTACATATTTATGGCATATATTATGTTTTGATATATGCATACAAAATATAATAATTAAATTTAGAATTCCTGTTATTCGGATAATAGCTCTGGCCTCTCCTCTAGAATATTTTCTGTAAACAGCAGGTCTAGAAATTGCTCATTTCATTCAAAGATGAGCACTGCTCAGAGAAGAATCATTGCAGGACCCACAAAAGATCTGTGTATTCAAACAATGAAAGCAATAGGAAAAACAAAAGGTACTTAATATTCAATAGCAAAAATGTACAATACAGTGTTGCAAAAAATTCAGTGAAGTGCTCTTGATGTCAAAATAAGAAAAGAAGAGGAAAGTATAGTGAAAAAAGAAAGATGAAATATTAGCATACAGAGCTCAGAAAGGGAAAAAATATATAGCACACTAGAAATGAAGACTGAATTGAAAGCAGCCCAAAGAAAAAAAGACATCTCTAAAGCCAATAATGGAAATACAGTGAAAAATAGACAAGGGATCATGGTTTTAAAAAATGGGTAGCAAATGTTAAAAAAGAACTGAGAGAAAATACACAAATGGAACACAAAATGGATATAACACAAACACAATTATGTTTGGAAAGTATAATATCTGATGTATGAAGTGTGATCAAGATATATGGTGAATATTTAAATTAAAAAGTATTATACTGAAAGAACTATTGCCATTAATATCCTCCAAATACTCCCTTATTGCATGTATATTTATGTCATTATTCTTGTCACTTTTTGAAGCAGTTCTGAAAGTCCTCCTTTGGGAGTGCCTTTATAGGATGTGATAAAAATATTCGTTGAATGCTTCCTGTCAAGAAATATTTGCAATGTTGGCAAATATTGGCACTATTTCTGCCAGAAATATTGGCCCATAAAAACATTATTGTATCCACTTTACTCACCGGCTGGCACTTTGGAACTTCTGGCTCTTCTTCAAAATCAAAATGACCATGAAACGTATAAATGTTTTGAGTAAACTCAGGGCATACAGGCAACCATAACAGCATAACTAAAGACATTCACCAAAGAAACTTTTCAGAACTGTTTCAGAAAGTGTCAAGAACACAATAAGTGTGTTCAAAGAATGAGGGAGTATTTTGAAGAGGAATAATCCTATAGTGGCTTTTATTATGACATTTTAAAATTAAATATCATATTTTATCAGATCCTTGAATATACATACATTTAAAAACTACTTGAATATGTGTGTAAGTTATACATGTATATAAATAAAGCAGCCCACCTCTCATACAAACACACATATCATATATACTCCACAAAAACATGAAAACATACCCTATACAGCTCAAGCAGGAGATTAGGGGATGGCAGCCTAGGTGGAAAACAGGAGGTAACTTGTTGGTTACAAAGATCCATAACAGAGGCTAACAACAGAATGTAGTCTGTCAATTACAAAGAAATAGGATGATTTCTGGGCAACCAGGCAAGACATACCAATCACAGAAACTGTCAAACCACCACTGGGATACATGCACAGGTCAACTTCAGATGAACTGGATCTGCAACGTTATAAAAGATGGTAATCATTGAATTTAGAGCACTTCTGTCTTGCTGCTTCTGCTGTGGCCTATCCTGTGTGCAGGATTTATCTTCAGTTTTCTCTTCTTGCAATTCTCTTCTTCACTTTTTTCTTTTTTGTCAAGAGCCATTTTACATAATTTTAGGGGAAAATAATTTCACCATTAAATTGAGATTAGGGCTTATCTGAGGCCTGGTATCTTGTCATGGGAGCCACCTATGGTATGCAGAAACATAACTTCATGTGCCTCTAGTCAAAGTGGAGACCTCAACATCCCATGATGCCATGATGCTCTAGGGTAAGATTAAGTCACCTGAACATATCCTGGTTCCTTGAGACCCAAGTAGTAATTAAAAAAAAAGATTTCACCTGGGAGAAAAGACATAGCTCTGGGTAGCTTGCCATCTCTCCCCACTGTCCTCATTAGCATAAGATCCTCATTAGTTTAAAATCACCTTTGCCCGCTGAGTCATCCAAAGTGATCCTCATCAACATAAGATACTGCTCAACATAGGACCACCACTGCCCTCTGAGTCATCTGATAATCCATCATCATTTTCCTCAGTGTAAATGTGATTAATAAATACTGAGATTGTGGCTGCCTCATGGCCTTTTTGTTCCCTGTGGACAGCTGGCCATCCCAGATCCAGAAAATGGGTAGTTGGGGAATGACTTTAGCATGTATTTTTGTTTGTTAAATATATATTGCCTATTCAATTTGTAAATACATAAATATATGTGTAAGGAACTATACTGACGAAAATGCAAATTCACTACATCCACTTTGAGAATGTAATATACAAGAACATCTTGTTAACTTTCAAATTTTAACTATCAGTTTACCGGAAATATGATGGACACACAATGTTGAATGAAACATCAGGAAAACAAAAGTGAAGAAACAAAGGCTATAACACTATACAGGACAATGAACTTGGTTTCATTAACAAACTATTAGGACAAGAAAGATTATGAGATATTTAATGATTTGACTGATTTTGAAAAGAATGTTGTTTAAAATATGTCACATTTATTCATAAATGAGGTATGAATGGTGCTTATTTGGTAGATATGGGCAACAAAATATTAAAAATGTTAGCAAAAATATTAGAAACTTTAATGTTATACTTTAAATATATTTTTGAGGTGAATAAATATATACATGGTTTAAGACATCAAAGTAATTTTTGAGTATATATTTTAAATAGCTTATCTGTAGCATATAGTGAATTATTTACCCAAAAATATGGCTCCCAAAAATTTCCTTTCAAGTAATTTACAGTTAGTGAGTGAAGAGAGTAAAAGTATAGAAGACACAAGGATTGCCATGGGACCCCATTGTTAAAACTGGATGAAGGTATATCGGAGCCAATCATGCAGTTCTTTGGCTTTCTCCATCTGCTTGAAATTTTACACAAAGGATGTTTAACATTTACAGTCACTGAAAGAAAACAGAAATCTTTCTTGTTACCATAAGTGACATTTGATCTTCAGTATCTCTGCAGGTTGGGAAGGTAACAGCATTGAGAATGCTCTGATACACAGCATGACATGGAAAATCTTTGCTTGAGACAGCGATTAACTCTTAGCTACAGTGAATTAACATTTGTCTTATTGTACTGAGATCAAGTCAAAATTAGAGGCAGAGGCTGAGAACTTAGCTTAGCGGTATGAACACCTGTCCTGCAAGTGCAAGGTTGTGTTTGATCCCCAGTACCCAAAACAAAAGTAAAACATAAAACAACAAAATTAGAGGCAGGAGAATCTTCCCTGACTAAAAGAAGTAAAAAATGTAAATTCAGTATTTCATAACTTTGCTACAATGCAGGTGCGATCTCACTATTTACAAAACTCAGTCCTTGAAATCAACAAACTTACCTTCCAGGAACCAGTGTAGCCCATCTGCACCATATGTAAGCTGTGGCCTGAGCCTTTCATCTGCTCCTCTCAGCTCTGCCCTCAGCTCTCACACATTCCCCAACTTTTTCAGC